AAAAAAAAATTGTTATAAAATAATATTGTATACTATTTATATAACATATTAAATATTATTACAGAATTGAAAAAAAAAAATAAAGTTAAAATAAAATATAAATGAAGAAAAAAAAAACAGGATTTTTACATTTATTTTTTAATTATTTATATTTGAATTCTAATTTATTTTAATATAAAAAAAATTAAATGAAATAAACATTACGCTAGGTCAGCACATCAAAAGAAAATTCAAAGAAATTTATATGAATTTATAAAGAATATTTTATCAAGCGTTCATAGGCATTGAGAAGACAAAATTATTATGAAGATATTAGACTATCCTACACCTAATTATAGGATTATTTAATTAATTAATAAAATATTTAAATAAATAATTAAATAAAACATTTATTAAATTAATAAATAATTAGTACTTTATCAAATCAATAATTTCCGAAGGCATATTGTTAAAATGCATTCGGAAAAAAATTATTTTAATACACAATATTTTCAATAATATGCCACACCACGGACAATTAGAAAAATTACTGAGGATTTTTAAAAAATACAATTACATTTTATTCTATCAGGAAAAGAGTTAAAAAAGCTTCTCCAAGATCCTTAAAAATGTTATAGAAAATATATTTACTCAATCACATTACAAGCCCATAGATGTATATTACATTTTTGTTTTATCAATAGTATTATAAAACATTGAAAAAATATTATCTTAGCGGGATCATATAACATAAATTAGCGTACTCGTATAATGATCGTAATCTAAATTTCGTTTCGGGAACTATAAATATTGTGTCGATAAGCTAATATAAGATTTTATTTTACTTTATTACATATTTATTTATTTATCTATATTGAATCTGCTTTAATTTACATGTAGCAACTATAAACTCAGTAAAGATGTTCGTTAAAATATAAGTTTGCACTTAGCTGTTTGTGAAATCGAAAAGAAATTAAAACTATTTTTAAAATTAATTTATAAGTTTTGTAATATTATTCAATCGATTTTCACAATAATTTTTTTTGGGCTTGCAGCATGTACTCTTACATATAGTTAAAACAATGACCAATTACAAAGAAGTACGTACAAGTATCTACAGGGCACAGATGATCGATTCTAAATACTCCTCTAAATCGGAAGCTGAATAATTCGCTAAACGGATTAGAAAATTTATGAAATAAAAAACGAATTACATAAACTTTTTACCAACCGCATTGCATATAATAAGGGAAGTTATGTGATGGTTTCAAATTTCGGATGTAGAGTTTTCGGTGAGAACGCACTTTACCACAGACGGGAAGTGAGAATAAATTATTTTTAGAGAGGTGTCGCTTGTCGGTCAGTATCTGTCTGTCTCTGTGTGTTCACGCGTGTATATATCAACTTCAGCTAAACTGATTTTGATGAAATTTTATATGTAAGTTTATTTCAGCTATGTCACGGATTGATCAATTTTTGATATTTGTCAGGCTTCGGGAACTTTTCGCAGGACGATTTCATAATCTTCTGTAACAATTTCACTAAACTAGAATATATATTGCGTTCGATTACGTGCTGAGCATATTAGATTTTTTATTTAGGCAGTTATTTTTATCACAAGCAAACAAAAATAATAAAAATTTATTTTAAAGGAACAACAATAAAAAAAAACAAAAATCAGAATTTCCAATAAAAATTAATAAAATAATATTTAGAAAATTATTTTAATTATTTTCTAATTATTTACAAATTTTTATTTCTTTAGCTGTTTTTGTTTTTATTCCACCAGCTCCACGATAACAGATGAAGCGCAGAGATAAGTTGTTTACGACGCGAACATATAACGGTGCGATAACAACTAGTTTTATTATGTAGTATCGATAAAACTTTTACATTTGACAGGTATTACACCATGTCGAGTATCACTCGACAGTGGAACTAGTGGAAAAAAAATCAGTGTCGAGTGACAGTCGACATTGGAGTGGAAAGGGTTAAATTGTTTTTGCCTGTTTGAACGGTGAAAATTGAAAAATAATCACCATTCTTTTAATTTTCGAAGCTTACTATTGATTTTAAACATTTGATTCAAAAAAATATACTTATTAGAGATTAAAAAACATTCAAGTTTAAAATAATAATAATTTTACCTATTAAAAGAAAATAAGAATTTGTAATTATTTATTTGGCTTTATAGGGGAAAACCTTATTATAAACAATCATTAAATAACATGGTAAATAAGATTCAAAAACACCACAATACATACATTTACATACATAAATCTATTTATTTTCAATTAATATTAAATAAAAATCATAATTAATTTTATACTGTTGGCCAACGTCATCTCTAAAATTTAGGTTGAATTATTATTCAAATTTATATCATTAAAATTTATCACATTGTAAATATTTCTTTTCTATACATACATATGTATTTATGTATGTATGTTTACAAATTTACATTTTATTAATGCATTCATTATGTATCTACATATTTTATTATGTACGCTGTTCAAATAAAATTATAAAGAAAACAGAAAGAAAAACAATAAAATAATAAAATTGGAAAAAAAGCAAAGAGTGAATGACAAGCTAAAATTATACCCACATGGACATGAAAAATTAAAATACATCAAACTGCTCTATAAATATTGTTTTATTGTTAGGTTTGATGAGCTTTTAAAAATATTACTAAGTATATTTCAATTTATTTTATGATTTAAACGAGCACATTGTTTTTCAGTAAATATTTGAAAATCTCAATCTCATAAACTTCATTAGCTTAAATATGGTAAAAAAAAAACAAATAATTACATTATTATAGTACCAAATAAACGCTGATTAGGAAAATCAACTTTAAAGCTCAAGTAAAACGCTATTTAATTTTAGGTTATTAAATAATCTTTGACTTCCAAAATGCAGTAAAACAGTATTAAAACATAATTCAGCATTTCGAATATACTACATTTCGAATATCAAGCAATATGTGAATGAACTGCTTTTCTCAAGGAGACTGCAAGGAAATTTGTTATAGAACAAATTTCTTTACATTTAAAAATAACTTAGCTTAAAGCAAAGTTGTGGTAACTGGTAAAAAAATCTAAATATTATAATTAATTATTAAAGTTATTATTAATAATTTGCCTTAAATTAATTCATTTTTTGAAAATTATAATTAATAGAAATTTTTTTAAGATTGTAGTCTAATAAACTCAGTTTTAGAAAGAAATTGCTTAAAATTTAGACAAATTTTGTCTAAAACAAATTTCACAAATACAAAAAATGTGATTAATTAATTGATTTTATTTTTTATTTTGCTTACGTTAAAAATTGAATCATTAACCTGTTTGAATTTCAAATGTAGATTTGAAAATAATTTTGAATATAATAATGTAAACTATATTTAGAATTATATGAAAGACAAAATAGTTAAAATTACTAAATTTTCAAATAGTCGGGAAAACCGAAATTGACTTTTTACTTATTTGCTTTTCCTTTTGTATTTTTCTCATACATTATATTTTTCTCTTTTTGTGTATTCTTTCAATTTCCATACTCTTTTTCTCTTGAATCCTGGATGAGAAGTTTTTAAATATTCTTACGTTTTTTCTCTTTTTTTTTTGCTATAATGTGTGCTGCATAAGCCACTTGGCTTTGGTGCTGAATAAGGCTTAATTTGTTTGCGAATACTTGAAAGACAAACGAAAAAATTTTATGCATTTTGAGAATGAAGTGTTGAGATTATCCTCTTCAACAATTTAAGGTTACTTAGGCGTTCAGAAATCGATGGTCGAATACAATAAAAAGGATAATTTATGGATTTTATAATAAAAAATTTTTTTTTGTTAATCACAAAGACAATCAATATAATAATAAAAAAAAATTAAAATTATATATGTATGTACATAAAATATTAAATAAATTTAAACTATAAAAATTTTATTCTTTATGAATAAATTTGTAAAATACATATTTATCTATTTTATATACATGTATAGTAGTAGAAATTATGTGAATGTAGGCACATAAAATATAAGAAATAGCTTCTAGAGAAAAAAAGAACAGCTTCTTAAGCGTGAAATGCAAAAAAAAACATAACAATTACAGATACTCATTTAGAAAAAAATGAAAATTCAAATTATATTTATTTAATATTTCATTTTATTTTAAAAATGATAATATGAAGGGCTATTAGATAAATGTATATGTATGTATGATCGAACCAAATAAAGCCAATTTTTTCGAATTTCTTTATTGAAATCTTTTTTCCTATTTAAATAATTGTTTTTAACAAACGCTTCTATATATCAAATCAATATTAATAAAGTATCACAATAAGCAGATAACTTGCTTGAATTTAGTTTAAATAGAAAATTGGGAAATTATGGCAAAGCAACATATTAAGTCTTAAATAATTATAAAATATATATTCGAAAAATCTCCAAAAAAAAAAATATCGAAAAAACTAATTGCATCAGTATTAATTCACAATTTTGTTATTAAAATGTTCCTTTACCTGGTCTAAAGAAAAGTAAAAGCTTTAACCTAAATATATGGTTATTGGGGCGAGGCAACCCTTATCGTTAACTTATGATTCACTTATGCTCAATCTAGTTTCATTTACACTTTTCTGTAAAAATAAAATTCCTTTTGCTATCAATTTCGGTATTGTCACTTGCCCTTTCCCTTGAAGTTTAACATAATTTATCATTACTTATAATCAATGAAGAAAAACTTAATATATATTCGTTTAAATACTAATGTTTAACGAATAATTTTTGAATGGTAGATTATTGGAAAATGTTGCATGCTTTTTAAAAATATTTCTTTTCAGAATACTAATCACATATGTATACATATTCCACTTTTACTCTTAGCTTATTTAATAAGAGTTTTTCATATGAACCTAATATACAAAATGAAATTATTAATTAAGGTAAGGATGTTTTTCAAAGAATACATCTGTCTTAAAGCAATAACTTTTCAAAAAAAAAAAAAAATAAAATAATTTCAGTACTTACTGCTATTCATTCGTGTGGGTGGTGGAATTGATGCATAATTTGAGTTCCGATTTTGATTAAAATTCTGATTGAAATTTTGATAACTATTTTGATTAAATTGTTGTTGCCCAACATAGTGATTAAGCATTCTGTGTCCAGCAACATCTAATGATGCCGATTGCGAATTTTGTCTAAATCCTTTAAAAAAAAAATTCCCAAAAAATTTAATTAAAAGTATTTAAAAAAACCTTCCATAATGAAGTACTTACCAATAGTTGGTCTGTAATTTGGATTTGCTCCTTCAGGTTTTAACACAGCTGGTGGATCAATTGCGTTTGGTAATCTTCTGGCAGGAAAAATAAAATCATCATCATATTTAGGATCTCTGTATTTAACAGTTAATACATTATTCCCTTTAATATCTGTTAATCCTTTAATAGGCGATGTACAAATTCTAATAAAATGAAATCAATTAGTTTTGTATAATTTATATTTTTTTTATATTTTACCCTTTTAAGGCTACATTATCATCAGACCATAAAATTCTGCCCTGCATGCCTTGAATTGATACTGGAACTTCAACTGTTTGAAAAATTTTGTTTTTATAATGCGATTTTATTACAGAAAAACCCGGATTTCCTGCCGTTATATACAAACGACTGTCACCACACTTATTTCTCTTCACTAGAATTATAAATCACAATATTAAAAGGAAATAAATAACTTCAATTATGTTTTAAAACGAACCCTCTTGCTCTGTGAGCATCGAATAAAATGGTTTCAAAGCCTTAAATAAACGCTTTTCATCTACAAATGGTAATAAAGCTACACCTTGCCAAGCAAACTTTTTACCATTCAAATCAATTTTAAAATCTTCTGGATAAAAATCGATTATTGGAGATTTCTACATAGTGAATTTTAAAATCATAAAATTTTTAATTATTTAAATGTATAAAAAAAAATTACTGGGTCAGACATCAAATTAGCCCAAGGCTGTGGAACATGTGAACTACTTGCTGCTGGAAACACGCCCATAAGTTGTTCCAAAGGATTAAACTAGGAGAAAAATTATTGCATATTGAAACAATATTTAGTGTTATTTATCAAATTGCTTTTTACCGGCTTTGTATTTTTCTCGAACTTAGTAGATAAACCTCTTACATTTACAAAATCAGATGCAAAAGGAGCATAATGGTACGGAAAATACCATTTCCACGACGCACATCCTTGATAATAATATTTTAACACCCAACAAAGTCCACGTACATACTGCAGTGCTACAGAATATCGAAAATTAATGTTATCCGGGCCAACATCAAATTTAGATTCATAATATCTGTCCTTAAAACCCTCTTCCCACAAACGAACTTCATCATTTTCTTGATAATCTTCCTCCTCTTCCTCCTCTACAGTCTCCGGTTGTTGCTTCTCGTCAATTTCGTCAGATTTTCTTTTTAACGACTTCGAAGGTCTTAATAAAGCCTCTAATGCAGCTTTTCCGTCTTTTTCAATCGGCTTGTTGTATTGAGAAGTTTCAACCATGTCCATTCTTCTGAAATTAGCAGCTTCCTGTCTTGCGTTTTGAATTGGGGCAGGAGTTATTCCTTTTCCTAATGGAGTTGGGGCAAATTGCGAGTTGTGCATGTTCGCAAAATTTGGAACTTGCGATTCCATACGACGTTTTTTTGCTTTTTCTCTGGCTTTAAAATTTTCTTCCCTTCTTTGCCTTTCCCTGAAAATTGTATCCTCTACTGAACCCAGGTCATCCATAATTAATTGAACCCGGTTAAGATTTACTTCTCCAGAATCAGTTAAAAATCCTCCTGTTTTGTATACACATTTTTTATACAGCTCAACTAAACGGTCAATCGCTCCTTCTCGAATTTCTAAGCTAGGTAAATGCGGCAGAAAATCATTTCCAACAAAAAAGCACATAAAAACCCAATCATCTACAGCTCGATCAAAATCATAAGGAAATGGTAAATTAGGCATTTCCAAAGTTGTTTTGAGGTATTCACGAAGCACAAAAAGCCGAACGAAAATAAATCTAACTTCACCCACAATAGGTGCATCATCTATTTTTATATCAGCATCTAGACCCTGGCATTTTTCTACTTCATGGCCTGAAAAATAAAACATTGTCTATTATATTCAGTTTCGTATATCCTTTAGTTTCTCACCATATTGACCACAAATGTCACAAGGTTTAGGTTTGTTTGGTAAAAACTCTTCCCTTATTATAGTAAAATTGGGTTCATGTGTAGCCAAGCCCAACATAATCAAATCTGCATCAGCACCACATAAAACATGTTGCGTATTCGGATCATGATCTGGCTGAGATCTTTGTTTTCGAATAAAGTCCATAATTTTATGTTCACCTTCACCCGGTACATTTGCATCTGATAAAATTACCTTAATACTTTTCCAAGCTGGATTAGTATTCATCCGATCGTGGATATAATAATGTAGACATCTGCTTAACCTTTCCATGAAAGGAGTGCCGGGTGTAATACAATTTGAATCAAAGTGTTCCTCTTTTGGTTTTTCGGGTGGCAAACGACATCCTTTGGCTAAAAGTTCGCTTCGAATTCTGGCTATTTCATTCCGCCTTTCTATAGATTCTTTTGCTGCACGAAATCTCCTCGATCTTTGTTGGTTCATTTTGGCTCTGGGAGCTACTCCGTCGATAGCCATGTACAATATTTTCCTCGGACGAACAATATTCATTAAACGATCTATGCATTCGAAAATTGCAACCATCATTTCGTCCTCATTTTTAGGCGGCGGTTTGTCTTCTGGATGTGTACACGGATGTATAATGCCATTCATGTCAAGGTACAAATTATCGAACTCAACTCCATTTGGATTGGGTTTTGTCATATCATCGTATACATTCTTTCCATTATCATCAACAGTCTAAAAAAAATTAAAGTTATTTTAAAGAATTCATGTTAAACATATTTTGTATAAAGTGGTGAATAAATAAACCAAACGTGGTTATATTTTATTTATACAATACACATACCTTTACTTCTACACAATCAACAATAACGCTGGGGTATTTTCTGCTTAACCAACGGAAAAATGCTGGTACTCCCATTTCGAAAGAGAATTATAATATTTGTTTAAAAATTTTTATTTTTAAAATTAATAATATTTGGCTTCAATTACTGTATTAATAAATGATAGCAGATACCAAAAATTTTGAAGTTTGTTTACGGATTTTTTTCCTACTTAAAGTAGCGGCAAATTTAATTGTAAGAAAATGATAAGCCCTAAAAAAACTAGCGGCAAATAACTTAAACAAAGAATGAATTATGCAAAGTTAGTTTATCAATTTGAAAATAATTGCCAATGCTTTTATTAAATGGAAAGTTTCTCCCTGAAAAAATAATGCCATATTTATTCTATATATTAAAAATTAATATTAACGTTATAGGAAAATAACAACTCTTTTTCCCTGATTAAACCGAAATTGAAATTTCAATCTGCGTATATACAGTACAGGTTGAAGGAATATTACTTTTGCTTGAAATCGACTTCAGTTTGATATTAGCTGACAAGCATTATAGATAAATTTGTCATTTTCAATCTTTAAATTAGCGTATGTGCCGTAAATTTTCAAGTAATAATTTTATCGAAACGGCTTGACTTGAAAATATCAAATCAAGTAGCGTTTATATGAGATCGAAATTCTCTTCAAGTCGGCTTAGAGTTGCATATCAACGTAGGAACTGTAACACATAAAACAGTATTTTTGTATAATATGTAGATGTCTACTAAATTCCAATCTACGAATAAAGTCTGATGACTGTTCACATATTTGATTAGATTTATCGCAGACCTTATGTCAAATATTTAACAATTTGAAAATTATAACTAATATAAAAATCATCTGATCTCTGCTTGAAACTTTAACAAAAAATAATTGCCTTCATTTTACTTTTAACCTAACAGTAAATATAATTAAAAAAGAGTAATTCCTATTATTTGCGATCTGATGTATAATAATATGCAACAAAATTTATTATTAAATGTCAACAATAGCTAGCAATGGAACTTCGAATTAAAAAAATTATCTTAAACAGCTTTTTGAACAAAACTTTTGAAAACTAACTTCTAAGTTTATTACTTGAAAATAAACAAGTTAATTCGGATTTACTCGTATAATAATTAATAAAATGATAAATATTAATATAATGCAAATTTAATAAAATGTTAAATAATATATGTAAATAAAATGAAAAATTAACGCATCAGCAAAATTACTTCAACTTAATTTCTTAGGATGGGTGGTCACGTTGCGTTTACACAGGAGTGACTTTTTATAAAAAATAAAATTATAATTGCACTTTTAAGTTAGCTTTCAAACGAATTAGATTAATAAAAAGTAAATTCACCAATTATTTGAGTTTTATTCATAATAAGAAAATATAACAAAATTATAAAGTTTGGCTTATTTTGAAATAAATTTAAATTTATTACTGCATTAATAAAAATTTAATTTCTTTTAGCAATATAATTGTTTTGTATTTTTTAATAATACAAATATTTGCCAATAGATCTCGCTGCTTTGTGTATATTGTACAAAATAGTGCTTATGTGCTGCTTCACATCTTTGCAGTTATTTTGTAAACATATTTTGACGTTTCATTGTCATTTACATTTTGCATTACAGTTCACTCGATAGCAATAAATATATTTTTAAAATTCGATTTTAGGATTATATTTTTAAAGAATTCATGAAACTTTTTTTCAGTCAACTAAAAAAATTATATAGAAATGTACAGTATTAACAAAAATGGTAGATTCTGATTGTATTGTGATAAATCTTCGATCAGCTGTAACCTTAGTTTTGCTTTTTTTTGTAAATGGTATCCATCAAAGTCAAACTGGTATGAAAGTTTTTTAAATAAAAAATATTTTTCATAACAGAATATTAAATTTTCAGCTTTGAATTCAATGGAACCATCTTCAAAAGTAGAATACCAAAAAAATATAACTTCTGACGCCGAACCCATTAGTATACCTCAAAATGTGAGTTAATGAAAAAAAAAAAATGAAGTTTATGAAATGATAATTGTGCAATATTAAATTTTAGCAAACATCATCGTGCCCAAGTGAAATAGAATGTAAGAATTTAAATGTGACATGTCTAAATTGTAACTATAAAAAAAACTGCCGCTACGGAAAGGATGTAAATATAACGTGCGAAGTAAAATCATCATATGCATGCGTGGTAAAATTCAATTTATAAATATATTTAAAAAAAATATTAATTCAATTATAAATATCGAAAAAAAATTACTTTTAGGGGGAAAAAACTTTTAATAGAACAATGAATTGTAGATATTGTTATCAAACAGAAATTTGGCAGCACAGATGTGAACTTAAGGGACATTGCAATTCAATGGATCCAAAAGCTAGATATAAGTACGCAATATTTTTGTTATATAAAAATTTGTTGATGTTTAATCAAAATATTTTTTCATTTTATAATTTTACTAAACAGAACAAATTGTACTGTTTACGATAATGTACTTTGTTTGGGAAATCGAGAATTCTCAAAACGAGTACCGTGCAACTGGACTCACGGATACAAATGGAGTACTGCATTAATAATTAGTTTAACTTTAGGGGGTTTCGGTGCTGATAGGTAAAGTAATTTAAAAATAGTCATTTGATTTCATTTTATGAGTTTTGCTGAAAAAACTTTTTTTTATTACTTTATTATTTTTTAACTTATATCTAAGCTTTTATAGTATATATTTATCTGCGTATACGTTCATATATTGTTAATATTTCATATGTATAAGTATAAAATGTAATATCAATGTTTTTATATTAATATTTATAATTGTAAATACTAATTGTATTTTACTACTTCCTAAATTATAAAATATGTACTTTCAGATTCTATTTAGGTCATTGGCAGGAAGGAATTGGAAAACTGTTTAGTTTTGGTGGTTTAGGTGTATGGACTATAATCGATGTACTTTTAATATCATTACATTATTTAGGTCCAGCAGATGGATCTCTTTTCATTTGAAATTGTAATTTATAGAATTTATTAATAATTTGAAAAAAAAAGAAATTTAATTTATATTTCTTAAATATCTAAAATTAGCAAAAATGAAGTGAATTAACTTATTTATAAAGAAATTTACGGAACTGATTCTTTTAAATATAATAAAGATTTAATTATGTTTAAGTTTACTTCTAGTTGAATTGAAATTAAAAAAAAAATATATATATATATATATGAAAATTTTAAAAATATTGTTATGTATTTTTTTTTCATTTGAAAGTTTTAATAAATTGTATGGTCTAAAATTAGAAAAGTATTATTTAACAGGAAGAAAAAGGTTCTTAATCCTAATAGTTTTTTACGGCCATATAATATTCATTTAGCAATATTATTATTTCTTCTGAACTCACCTGAATAATTAAAATTAATTCATTAAAAATTGTTATGCAATTTTATTAATATTTTTATTTCAAGAATAACATATGTATTGTATATTTGCACATTATTGAACAAAATCACATTCCAATATTTCCTAATTATATTTTGTTATTTTCTTTTACAATTTTTAATTCAAATTACATAAATTTTAAATATAGTAAAGGATTTTGTAATTTGTATTTTTTTTTTTAAATATAAAGCAATTAACATAAGTCCAAACAAAAATATGTTCAAAAAAGGAAAAAAGAAAATTGAATTTGAAAAAGCTTTACAAAAATTAACAGAATTATTTTATGAAAAACTTTTCTACCGATTTTAGACTGTTGCATCCCATTCTATCAGAATAACCAATGGAAAAATTAAAAGAAATAATGCTGTCATAAAAATAAGACCAATAGTTGAATATAAAGAAAATAAATAACTATATTGAAATCTGAAAATTAAAGAATTATAATATAAAAAGTACTCTCAAATCTATTGAATTTTCTTCTTCTATATTAACCTGCAATACCAACAAAAAACAATTGCCAAACTAGTGATTCCTACAGCAAAATAAACAAAAAGTGGGCCGTTAGTCAGTCCTGATCTAAAATTAATCCCATTTGATGTTCTGGTACGTGGTTGAGCATTATTATTATTATTGTTGTTATTGTTTTGGTTATCGTGATGTTCTAAAAAGTTCAAATAATTTTGTTTTTAATATTAAAATTCAAGATAAAAAAATAATGAAATTAATTAGGAAAAGAGAATTTTGATAAAAAATAAGTTGTAACCTTGCTGAATATTGGATCCTTCCATTTGATTAGTTTGCATTGGTTTTTTGTGAACCAAACAATGAACCACACAATTATCAAAAAGTCCGAACGCTTGTAAAGTTTTGGTATCTGGTTGTAACACATGACCATTAAAGACTAATCTCACAAGTTTTTCTGCAGCCAATTCAACCATAAAATGTCTCCTAATAAAAACAAATAAAATGTTGCATAAGGATTCTATTCTATTGAATAAGACTTACTTTTTAAAATCTCCTAAGGCTTCTTGTGGATTTCCTTTTACAAGCCTTAAGTCATCATTTAAGTACTTTAACTTTATTCTGAATTCATCATCACTTTTATTTTGATTATTTGCAGTGTTAACAGTTTGAACCAATCCATCTAGTTGATCATTTTGGTTTCTACTCAATTCACTTTTGGAAATATTTTCGTTCTCGTTATTTTCATTAGAACAGTTTTCAGCATGAGTTGAATCTCCACTTGTATTCAAATTTAAATTTTCCCTTCTTATAACATTTTCATTAGAATTACTTTCAGTTTGATTTTCTTGAGAATAGAATGCTAAACGTCTTCTACGGATACCTTCACTTGAATGAGGTTCATCAATTGTACTATCCATATTTTGAATAATTTCCTGTGGACCAGTATCGTTATCTTCCAAAATTTCAGAATTTGTACCAGTTGAAGATGAACTTATCCTTGATCCACTAGATAATGCAAGATCAGAAACTTCATCTAAAACATCATGCAAAGAAGGAGCTGGAACTTCAATATTATTCAATATTTCAGTTCTCTGATTTACTGATGGATTTCTTGTATCACTTATGCTTTCTAGAATAACAAATTAAAAAACCGAAAAACTGAGTAGATGATACTTACCTACCTAATAAAAAGAATAAAACGTACCTGGTATTGTAGTTTGTGGTCTTGTTATATTTTCCAAAAGTCTTCTTCTATTGTTTTCTATTATTAAAACTGCTGTCGGTAAATCTATAAGATTTTAGGAAATACAATTAGTTTGTACTTTACAATTATTGTGGTTAAGATTGTACCTCTTACGTTGGTTGATTTCCATGCAAAATAAACTATTATTATGGCTGCTATAGCGATAAAAATATTTACAAACTCTATGTCTAAACCTTCAAATATCATACTTGTTCCTTTAGGTATCAATATTTATTACCATGTTACGAACTGTTACCTGAATATCAGAATGGGAATATAAATAATTATGTTATGTATCAACGTACAAGTTTATCATTCAATTCGACGTCATTTTATACAGATTTGGTATTGCAACACCCAAGTATTGTTTCTTAATTTTTTTATTTGCACTTTAACCCAAAAAAATCACTGGTTTAAGAAAGAAATTTTAGGCAAACTTCAAAATAATATAAAAATAGAAAATTTAATAGTCTACATAAATATTGCAAAAAAACTTTATTTATTTGTAGTCCTATTTTGCAAAATGGAAAATCAATTTCATCCCTCTGCAGATGATTTCCTACCTTGTAAAAGGTTGATTTCAAAATTTATATTAAATATTTTAAAAACTATGAAAAATTTAAAAATTCTATAGTCTAATAATTTAAAACATTTTTATAAAAAAAATTAACTTCAGTTGATGACATAAAAATAATAACACGACAAATATCTGCAAGGTTCTATGGAATGTCAGAATCATTTGACTTTATTAATTGTGTCGAATACATGACTGTAAAGAGTATTATTAAAGTATAAGTTTTTTTTATTAATGGTTTGAGTTTAAGATAAATAAACAAAAAAGGTTTGCATAATCAATATACAATTACCAATAGCAGCGCGATAATTTCAAAAATATCAAATGGAATCAACACAATTTTCTGGGGTTTATTTTTCGTGTTTACACTCCTCATGAGTATATATGTGCAATTTTTAAGTAATCTTAAAGATTCTTTTCGGAATAATCTTAAGTAAAATATAATCTTATTTTGTAAATAATTTGACGTCAATAAATTTAAATTATTTAAAAAAAAAACTGACAACTTACTTAAAATTTTAGTTTTTAAAAGGTAAACACAATATTATAGGTAGTCAAAAAAATGTGAAATTTCAAAAACGAATTTAAATTCGAAATGAAAAAGTAATATTTTTCTTCGAATTTCAAGGTCAGTTTAAAAATGACAGATCTTTCAAATGCGTTGTGATAATAAAACAATATGAATCCATCCAAAACAAATGATTCATCTGTTGTAAAATCAGAAGAAAAGACAAAAATTCCATAAGCTTAACAATAGCAGATTTAGTTTGTTGGAAATTCAGACTAATTATAGTTAAGAAAAATATTGAATAGAAGAAAGAAGGGCAAGACTTATTTAAAAAACCCTGCATGATTCATTTAATATTTTTGACAACAACATGCCGCGCGATTCTGTAGTACTGAGCTGTAGTACGTAATTTTCTGAGTATTATTTTGAATGTCTAAACGTTACCTATTCTACAATTTCTTAAGTACATTTCAATATTGACTTTGTAATGTCAAATTTGTTTTGAGAACAAATGTAAATATTTTAAAAATAATAATTTTTCTATCTACATTTCATATTTTAAAATTTTAATAATATACATATTTAAAAATTATTAAAGATAACAAAAATAGTAATACTAAATTATTTGTTTTTGTTTACAAATATTAACATTTCTTTGTCAACTTAAAACAAGATGTAATTTAAATACGAATGCAAGGTAAGGTAAAAATTTTGTCTAAAGATTATTAGCCAATTTAAAAAAATAATGAAAATAGGAAATCGAAAGGTAATTAATAAAAAAAACACACTGGTATTGTATATTTGTAGTAAAAATATTTTGTGGCTTAATCAATTACAAGAATTTTTAGTAAAAATTTTTAGGCGTTATTCAGATTTAAAAGAAACAGCAATTACATATATGTAGACTAGAAGAGTGGTGAGTAAGATTATCTAAGTTCGTATTTTGAAAAAATTAGATGTAAATTAGATATTAAGGAGTTGGAAATTGAAGAAAGACACTTACTATATGCGTAAAATGTGGAAAAATGATTAAAATATGGAAAACTTATAAGGCTAAAAAAATTTTTAGAAGATTTCAGCATCTCTTACAAAACATTTTGAGAAAACTAAATAAATAAAATTAAAGTTTAATATAACAATATTACGCAAAATATTGAAGCGAATTGATTTCATTTATTTATTAAAATAATTACTTTAATCTTAACTAAAAAAAATTTACACAAAAAATTACAATTAATACAATTTCTGAAAAAATATAATAGGTAGGGAATACTATGTAATTAAAAACTTTTAATACCAATATTAAATTTAATGACGCTGGTGAAATTTCTGAAATTAATGATGGCCACTTTTAAATTATGAGCGATTAGGCTGTTGTTTTTGTTTGTTACTCGTATTTCTAAAACTGAGTATATAATATTAATAAGGATAAGGATATGTACATATAAAACAATGTAGTTAAATATCTTCCTTACATACCTATTCATTTTCCAAATTGTTATAATATGATGTATGTGTATTGAATTATTTTTTTTGAAAAGGGCTTTCACAACAACATGTTCGAATAAGAAGGTGTTCATAACAAGATTTTGCGTAAAATATTGAACAGTTGGTATACTGACATGCAGGCAATAATGGAGATTGTCCAGTTACTAAAATAATAATCATATAATTAAAAAACTTTTTTAAATTTATTTTAAGATTACTTTGTGCGTTGCAACAGCAAGCATCATGATTAACTTTAAAATCACAGTATGAGTAAACAGAAGAATCGCATAATGGACAGCCACCATATTGTCGACCCTTTTGCAGTATCTCAGTCTTGCCTATAATTGAACAATGATATGATAAGGATTTTTAATAATTACGTTTTTTAAAATTAAAGATGTAAAATATAATTAAAGATTTCCACCAGTTTTATTACTTCAAAAAATAAAATAAAGAAAGAAATTCTCGAAAAAAAAAGAAATTCTCGAAATAACAGATTTCCAAATTGTCCAGAAAATCCTTCATATCGAAACTATGACAGTTTTTATTTCATTATAGCAAAATAATAATTTAAAAACGTACTTTGTAATAATAAATTTTTGAACATTAGAAATTATGATAATTTTTTATTTAGCTATGGCAAATTTCATTAATTTTATAGTATAACCGAATAGTTTTCATCTTGGTAAGTCACGCGAATATTTAATTTGATCAAACAGAAATTTGTATTCTAAGTATTTGAATTTGTATAGAAATGTAGGGGTTTCTTAGCCTGTTAAAATAGTTATATTTTAGATTGATAGTTAATAGATTAGATAATTATAAGAATAAATATTTTTGTAATGAATATTTGATTCTCAATATTTTGTTTTTTATATTTAAGAAATTTTAGTTTTGATCTCTACAGGAGTTCTATGATGTGGTACACTTATTTAGATATAACTTTTTTCAATACATATTTATTTTAAAATACCATTTATTCCTTTGATAGCGAAAGTAATTGCAATAAATAATAGAAATGATATAAATTTCCACATTTTTGTTATTTTACATTAATTTGGAAACAAAAAAAAAACTTGTGCTTAACCAAGAGTTGAAATGTAACTGAAAGTTGATATAAATGTTGTAAATTTTATTCTTTAACGTATCCAAAACTTTCACAGAATTTATTCTTCTTTTTGATTTTTTTAATACAAGTACTCCTACACATGAAAATAACGTTTAGTCTTAACGAAGCTGCTTATAATATATACACCTATATTTGGTATAAATAGGACAGTGGACCGCTTCTTTCTTTTAGATTAATTTTCACATATGCATGCAATATGAAATAAAGTATAGGTAAGTATCTATACATAAAAGTAAATGAAGTGAGAAAATTATAATAAAAAATTCTTAAATTTGGAATTGAAATTAAGAAAATAAAAGAAGAATCCAGTTAAATGATTCAAATCCGAGTTATTTGTTATACAATCATCCAAATAGAAGAAGCATTAAATGTTTTATAAAATGAAAATTTGATATACCATTCGAAATCATGAATATATTATTTTTCTATCTTAATCAATTAAAAAGCTAAATTGAAAAAAGTAAAATTCATACAAGAATATGTGTGTATGTGCGTAATACATATACCTTAGTTCATTATTTATTACGATTAATTCTTAAAAATTGTATAAAATACTGAAATATGTACGTATCTTTAATATTTTTCTAATACAAAATTAAATATTTAATACAAAATGTCTTTAAATTTTACAGCCAAAGCTTTGAAAAACACAGATATTAAGTATATACATATGTAGGCATAGAAAAAGAAAAAATCTTAATTAAAAATTCTAATTAAAAAAATTTCAATTATTTTTCAAATACATGATGCTGTCCTTTGTGCTACTAAAAAAACAAAATTGATACCATTAAATACTACGTACTCGTAGTTTCTATATATGCTTTTTCATTATTTATATTTGCCGTGATTGTTTTTAATTATCCAAAATGAATCTACAATAGAACCAGATTTGTTGTCTGATACTTGTTCGAAATATAAATGTGTTTTATTAAAAGCCTTCATTCTAGTATATCCATAATCTGTAGTATGAAAAGCACTCCATTCTGGAGGGTTGTCTGGAAAAGTATCTGTTCCTTCTTTACAACCAGCTGAACCTGTTATAATATGAACAGGAGCACCAGGATTTGTATATGGTTCTTCAAGACTACCATTATATATTTTATAATCATATATGGGCCAAAGTCTTTCATAACTATGTTCATGAGCCCAAATTTCCACATCAACTCCATAATTATAAAATAAGTCTTCAAGACCAAAGAAATGAAGAACTGGTAATCCATTTCTAACAAGAGTTTCATGTTTTGTACAATCATCACCATCTAAATCTGAGCAGTACATTGGCCTATGACCAAAAGTTATAATCCATGGTCTGATTGCACGATTTTCTGGTTTTGTAGCCTCTTTTAAATCTTTTTCTAACCATTCATATTGCTTTACTAATGATTTAATGCCGTAATTCAAAAAATAGTAAACTTCGGTAGAAAATGCTATAAAATGTATTGGCCCTATGTCGAAACTATAATATAAATTATCATTGTTATGCGGCATATTAAATCGGGAACGATAATTCGAAAAATTGTATTTTTCTTCATGATTACCGCTACAAACCATATATGGGACATATGCTGCTATTGTTTCAATTTGTCTCATAAATTCATCCCCAATTTCAGCATTTTCAGTATCCATATCATATGCAAAATCACCAACGTGCAGTATTGCATCATACATTTGTCTTTGAGTGTCTTCTTGAAGACGTGCAAGAGATTTCGCATTTTCATTGCCCATATCTCCAAATATAGCAAAACTAGGTGACCAGTTTGAATCAAATCTTGGAGTTTTAAACCAAAACTCCGCTGACCAACCCAGATTACTACCACAGTGATACCAATATTTCATATCTGGTTTTAAATTTTGTAATGTAACTTTGTGAATATATTGAGTATGTTTTTTTGAACCACCGTCTACGAAAGGTAATTCACTTCCTGTTGCAGTTAATATGTTACCATTAATTCCATACTCGACTATTGATTCATTTGTTGAATCAAATGTTGACCATGTTATTGTGATTTCATTTATGTTGTTTCCTAAAGCAATATGAATTTGTTGAGGTTGGTAGTGATAAACTTTTTCCAAATTAAATGCAATAGGTTTAAAAGTGTAAATATGTAAAATACTAGTCAAAATAATTAAGATTTTCATTTTTCTTTAAGGAAGGCAACTATTTATTATTTTTTGAAATTTCTCACCTGTAAAAAAAATAAATTGCGGTTAAAAATAAGTTTGTTAATTAAAAATATTAATATTAATGTTGTAGATGTGTGCTCTTGCATAGGTGAGTTTAAATAAAAATTTAAAATCAAAAAGATGACGAAAATGGAAAAGGGAGGTGTAAAATAAAATGCAAAATTAAGCGTTCTGTAAGGTAGTTGAAAAATTTGTAAATGGAAGACTCATTCAAATTAAATGTCGAAAAACTATTTAATAATTTAAGACTCAATTGTAATATTAATTTTATATACAGGCTGTCTGAAAAAAGGAAACGGTTTTGTTTCTTACATTTGCAAGCTTGTAAAAAACAATTTTGGCTTTAATCTAAACAGTTTATTTTATAGTCTTGCTTTTAGATTTTCAGAAAATCATATTTTGAACGCGTTTTTAGATAATTATTGTTATGTTTATGTATATATGTATATTATGTAAGTATAATTTTAATTAGTTTGTACGCAAATTTTATGTTATCATGTTTTTTTATTTCAACAAAAAACTTGAACTTTACTTGATTACAAAATTCCTTTGTTTTATTTATGCAAGATTGTGGCAAACAAAGAGATTTCGTTTTTGTCGGAGACAAGATGCATTTTTTTTATTTAATCTGAATGATGTGTCATAGAAACTTATTTTCAAAAATGATGGAAGATTAGCATAAAACTCATAATATAATTATGTGTTTTAAATATTTAGAAAAAAACCAGAAAGAATAATGCTTTAAGTTAAAATTATATTTTGAAATAATATCAATTTTTCCGGGATTTATTCGTTATAATAATGAATGTAATTAAAAAAATGAGTTTCATATTTGCCAACTACATTATTTATAAAAACAATTTTTAATTTCTATTTCGTGTAATTTCATTTTATTCGGATACATTATATTTTCCGTGATTGTTCTTAATTATCCAAAATGAATCAATTATTGCACCGTTCTTATCATCAGATACTTGCTCAAAAAATAAGTGAGTATTATTGAAGGCCTTCATTCTCGTATAACCATAATCTTGACTCTGAAATGCACTCCATTCAGGAATTTCATTTGGAAATGGTGTTCTACCTTCTTTACAGCCAGCAGATCCAGTTGTAATATGGACTGGGGCCCCTGGATTGGTGTATGGGTTTTCAAGACTACCATTATATACTTTATAATCATAAATTGGCCAAAGTCTTTCATAACTGTGTTCATGAGCCCAAATTTCAACATCAACTCCATATTTGTAAAATAAACTTTCTAAACCAAAAAAGTGTGTAAATGGAAGTCCTACTCTAATTAATGTTTCAAATTTAGTACAATCATTTCCATGGCCATTTGAGCAATACATTGGTCTATGGCCATAAGTAATAATCCAAGGACGTAGCTTACGATTTTCTGGTTTTGATGCCTCTGCCAAATCCTTTTCTAACCACTCATATTGATTCACTAATGATTTAATTCCATAATTTAAAAAATAGTAAACTTCTGTTGAAAAACTTATAAAATGAACTGGCCCAAGATCAAAACTATAAAACAAACTTTCAGCCCCGTTTGGCATACTGAATCGAGCACGATAATTAGAGAAATTATATTTTTCTTCATGATTTCCTGGACAAACCATATAGGGAACATACGCCGCAATTGTTTCAATTTGTCGCATAAATTCATCACCAATCTTCGAATTTTTCGAATCCATATCATAGGCAAAATCTCCTACATGTATAATAGCATCGTACATATTGTTTTGAGTATCCTCCTGCAACCTTGCCAAAGACTGTGCATTTTCATTGCCCATATCTCCAAAAATAGCTAAACGAGGCGACCAGTTATTATCATGTTTTGGTGTTCTGAACCAAAATTCTGCTGACCATCCTAGATTACTTCCACAGTGATACCAATATTTTGCGTCCGAAATCAAATTTTTGAGTATTACTTTATGAATATATTGAGATCGTTTTTTGTTTCCTCCATCAACAAATAAAGTTTCAGTTCCTGTTTCAGCTAAAGTATTACCATCCAAACCATATTCAACAATTGATTCATTTGTTGCATCTAGTGTAGACCATATGACAACAATTTCGTTACTATTTTCTCCAAAAGCTATATGGATTTGTTCTGGTTGATAATGATATATTTTATTTAAAATATTCGCCTTTACTTGGCTTATGAGTAAAAATATCACATTCAATAGAAAAAAATATGTAAATTTCATCTTTCTTTGTTTTGCTTTAATTTACACATAAAATTTTTTTTTATCTACGTTCTAAACGAATGAACTTTGAAAAGTTTTTTAATTTTAAAATAAAGCTAAAATAAAAGTGAAAAATATCAAAATTTTTACAATAAAATCAAAAAATTTGAAATTAATTCACTTTATTTCTAAATAATTTTTTATAAACTCACATTAAATAATTTTTGATAATTTTCCAATATTACTGATAACAATTTTATTCTTTTGGAACTCTGCGTATTGTTTTGATTATTTCATTTGTATTTATACATTTAGTTTTTTGTTGATATTATTTGCTTTTTTGAATAGCTGAAGTTCTTTTCACAGAGTTTTGACTTCTAGTTTTAATTTTTGTTTGATGAAGGATTTGGATTTATTTTATAATTTGTATAAAAAGATTATTTTTGATGTAACACAATTTACCCAAATTCACAATAGAATAGTTCTATTTAGTATTTATTTCTTGTTTGTGAATACCTTGTATTAGTTTTACATTGTATTTGAATGAGACACAACGCAACGTTTACACAGGAAAGTTAAATTGGCCAAGAAAATTCTAATACATAAGAAACACTGAAATATTTGTCATTTCATTGTCTGCTCAACTAACAAGCTATTTTTTCTACAAGTAAATTGAACAAGTAATTTGATATGCTTACCAATTTAAAGAAAAAATAACATTTTACGTAATTTATAATATATATTTGACTTTTATCATTAAATTTTCACAAAAATATCACGTTAAATAAAATTTTAATGATTTTACGAATACAAAACTAGTAATCTTTTTAAGTTTTATTAAAAAATAAATTATTGTTGATTCGGAATAATTTTTCAAAGTAATTTCTTAAAAACCCAGCAAACAGAAATTTCAAATAAATGAATTTTATTTTTAGTACACATTCCACAATATCTTAAATTTGCAATTGGTTTATAGATGTCGTTAAAAATTTAAGACATTTTCAAGCGATTGACAGCATAACTAACAAAGTAAATCAATTTAAATAAATTTAAATAAAAAAATCGTTGTCTATGTTTGATAACGTTTAAGATTTACTTTCTAAATTATAATTGTATTATGAATGATGGTAGCTAGTTTTACGATTGTAAAATTTTGTTTGTAATTTATTGAAATTTTTCATTACATTGACATGTTTAAATCTTTCTTATTGTTCCTTAGCAAAAATAAAATCAATTTTTCATTTCTTTTGAAGACTATTACAATTTCCGACCGATTTCAATAATTCTGTGTTTGCTTTCAAAAATAATTTTCATTTAATTTGTTTTTGAAATATGGAGAAAAATTTTCAATTAATAATTTGAATTTTTTGATATAATTCGAAATTAAGTTTATAAAACTTGTTATTTTAATCGTTTATTAATTGTTATTATAATTTATTTATAGTTTAGACAGTATAAATTTGAGTTTATTATTTTATTTAATATTTTAACAAATATGCATATATATATGTATAACAATTATACTTTATTATTTCTATATATACTGTTATACTTACTTATACTATATATCTGTCATATCTTTACCTAATTCTTATTAACTCCATTTTTGTCTATTGAATATAGATAGAGATATTTTTAAGTGAAATTTTATTTAAAGAAAAAACTATGTTTATTTGTAGCATGATACTATAAAAATAAATTTGTTTTAGAAACATAAAACTAAGTTACTTTGAGTTCGGTTTTCTAGATAAGCGAATTCTTTCTTTCTCTAAAAATTGTGTTTAAAGTTTTATTTTATTTTATTAAAAAAATTAAAGCTATACTTAAAGCCGTATAATAAATCTGTATAATAAATTCATATAATTAAATAATAAGCAGATACATGCATTCTTTTCATTATAGTGTATGGGTGTATAGTTCCATGTAACGAAAAATGTACTATGTATATACATATAGTATCATTTAAAATATAATTAATTTAATAATAAAAATATTTAAAATATAAAATAAGATTTTTCTTTAAAGAAATAAAATGTTCACGAAATTTCAAAAAGAACCATGAAAAATATTTCCATTTACAGTGTAATTCATATTTAAGTTTTCGTTACGCTCCTCTTGTATATGAAATTAGTTGGTTGGTTGACGTGGTCAATTAGCACAAAAATTTCATCATTGATCGTCATTGAGCACAAATTTCTTTTGAGAAATCTATCTTAATCCTTTATGGATCTGGTAATACCTATTTATTACATAATATTACAAGTTGTTCTTAAAATTCAATATAAACAATTCAATTATTAAAAAATCAAAAATTTTTTATATATTACATATGAAATTTTAATAAATATTAAATTTTTTAAATAAAAATATTAAATTTTTTTTTATTTCTGAATTATCATATGAAATTGCAGAAAATTTACTCTCACAAAAAATATTTAAAATGTATATACAAAAATTAAAGTATATGCGCGCTCAAATTAAATTCCAATATTATTCTAAATTATTAAAACTAAATATATTCAATATATATATTAATTAAAATTTTCAACTTAATCTTTAAATAATTAATTTAAAAAATAAATATATAAAAATTAATCTTCTCAATTAATATTCACTTAATAAATAATATAGAATTTTAAATAAAAAGTTATACTCGTTTTTGTTATTAAACTTCTAAATTAATTTAAATTACTTTAAAATTGTTAATTAATAACAAAACATATATATATATATATATATATATATATATATATATATATATATATATGTTGTACTTGATTACTTAACATATTCATTAAAATTTACTTACCATTATACAAAACATTTATTTAAAAAAAAAGTCCTTTCTTTTCTAATTGAAAAATTTTCGTAAAAAAAAAAAAAAAAAAATAAGAACAATTTTTCATAATCGCGTAATTAAAAAATTATACGCGAATATTTTATTCTATATATTTACATATATAACTCTAGATACTATGTTAATCGTGTTTTCTAAAATTTAAAACGTTTTTTAATTAAAATTTAATAACATACAAAAAAAAAAAAAGAGAAAATTCTATAAAGTTCTCTTATATTATTAGTACTTATAAGAAAATTAAAAAAGAGAAACAAAAAAAAAAATATGTCATCGTCTGCCAAATTTGTCATTTCTATAACATCGTTTTAAAAGTATGTCTATAAATACTAAAATACTAAGTATAAAATTCATATATAATTAAGTTGCATGACAATCAGTCGAAAAAAAAAGAAATATTAAAAGTTAATTAGATTTTAAATTGTTCTTCTTTACCATAAGTAATTGGTAAGAAAGTTGTCCATAATATTCCTTCTGTATTCTATTTCGTATTTATGGCATATTCTTGTTATACAAGTATATTTTTCCTTCTTTTATACAGACATACTTACATGCAATATAATTTTCCCATATATACACTGACTTTATAATAAGTATACATATAATTAAATGTCTTATTATTAAAATTTTTCAATGTAAACAAAAAATATTTACATAACTTTCATTCATGTTTAAAAAGGACTATAACAATAAATATATACATACATGCATACATATATATATTTGTTATATTTATTCACAATTATTACACGTTTAAAATGTAATAAATAATAATAAATATGTTATTTATTCTTTTTATTTTTTTTTTGTGGTTCGAAATTATTAAAGCAATAATTTTTAAATTATTTATTTTCATGTTATGAGTAATGTAATATTATTGTTTATATTTATTATGAAAAAGTATTACCGTTTTATGTTATTTTTTTCGTTAAAAATTTTTGCATAGATTTTGATTTCTATCAACTATTTGTTTTGGGTAAACCTACCGGAGAACTTTAACTTTTAAGAGAGTTACCGTAAAAACTTTTAAATTACTTATTTATAAATAAGAAAGAGTGAAGTTTTTGAGTAAAAATACTGTCTGCAATTTACTTTTTTACCTGAAAATAGCCGTAAAAACAATTAAATCTCTCATTTTTCTTCTCGTTCGAAGAAGAAAGAGTGGAGTTTTTGAGTAAAAAAAAACTACCTACAAATTAGTTGTTTTATCTCAAATTTTTTTTATGGTATAATATTATTTTACGTTTCTAAAAACTCAAAATTTAAAGTAAAGCTTTCGAAAGAAGCTGTACTAAAATTAATAGCTATTTTTTCTTTTAATTAAATACTTCAATTGAAATTTTTCGTAAATCAATAATTTTCATAATTTTTTGCAATATAGTTGAAATTTCAATGCAAATTTCAATTCATAAACGATCTCACTTAAAACATCAACAAAAATAAAATCGTCTTTGACTACAATCAATGCATTCAAAAGCTATTATTACTATATTATTGAAAGAAAGAAACTATTTGTATGGTGTCTTAATCATTAGTTCTTAAACCAGTTAGTATACAAAATACAATTGACGCGTCATACTTAAAACTATATAGTATAGTAGCAAATTACAATATACAAATGACTTATTAACCATGTATACAATTATAAAAATAAAGAGTTCAAATTTTTTTTTTATTAATTTAGGTCAGAATTTTAAGGTATATAGGCAGGCATATTGTATAGAAATAACAATATAACAAGTGTTTGAATATAAAATTCGTTATGCATGCGCCTATATTTAAATAAACTAATAATGTTTTATGTATTAATGAATATGCGGCATCCATTTATAATTCATATTAGACTACAAGTAATCATAAATCCGAAAATATAAATATTGTCTCTTGCTTATTATATAATTGTTGTTAGAGTGTTAAAATAAAAATCTGCTTAAAATAATATTTGTAAGCATAATATAATTTTTTTTAAAAAAGACTTTTTATTTTGCCCGTCGACTCAGGTAATAAATTTGCCATGTTTAGTTAAAAACAATTTTAACAGGTAAACTATATCATTTTGTTACAGGTGTAAAAAATTTTCGGGTTAGTTATTATGATTAAATAAAAATTTTTAGTCTCTTTGATTTTTGTAATATAGACAAGACATTGTCTATGAGACATTGGTTCCTGATATTATTCAAAAATGTTAGGTTAAGGTTAATGACCTATATTATTTAGTTTTTATACACATTCAACTATTTTATGATTTAAATATGAGTTTAATCCCCTCTCATTTAAAATATATTTTTTTTTTATTTTTGATTTCAAAGTGTTTATATAAAAGTCCTTGTCACATTTTTTCTACTATCAGTTTTAGACACATTTGTGTAAGAGAAGAGTTATAATATACTGTTAAATTTTAAGAAAGTTTTTAAACTATTATAATTGTGAATCTAAAGGACTAAAATAAAAAAAAAACAAGCAAAATGATTCAAAACAATGAAATAAAAGATATT